TTCACCTACTTTAATTTTGCAAAAATGAAATTAATAATTTAATGAACCTTTGGCTATCAAATTATTAATCAATTAATAAAAAAACAAAATAACAGATTAATTGATTTGCAGAATAATGAGTAGTTGCAGCCCTAATCTACAGTGGTTAATTAGAAAACAAATACTGACCAACATAACGTCACATATACCTAAAAACAAAAAAGGAAGTATTTGGACTTACCTCAGGAGCCATGAGTGAAACATTCCCTCCTTTATCGACATACATGCTGTTGAACGGCAGCTGTAGGCTGCAGTCATTCTGAGTGAGGCAGCAGCCAAAGTCAGTGATTACCAAACGGGGGCAGCCACCTGCAGGAAGAAAACAAATAAGGAAAGATGTCACCAATATTAAAGCAAAAGTGATAAAATTTGGAATAAAAGCAAGTTTGTTGGGTGTTTGCTTTAAAATGTGACCTGAATCAAACTCCAGCAGAATGTTGTCTGACTTCAGATCCCTGTGAGCAACACCCTGCCTGCACAGATGGTCCACCCCCTCTAGGAGCTGCAGCACCATTAAAGAGCCCTGCCAGCGGCTGGGTGTGGAAACCTGCAGGTACTGACGTAATGTGCATGGATAGCTGCAGAAACATAAATGACAGCCGTTTAATCAGACAATTTAAGTTTAAAACCTGAAATGCATCATTACAACGTCTTACTTCTTCATGACAAGGAAAAGAGTGCGATTGTTTCCAAGGCCTGCAGGGTTGAGTCTGGGTGGCAGCACATCTGGATACTCTTCCTGGGCGCCTGGTAGCAGCGGCACATCTGCCGTGAAAGCTCGATGCACTCTGATCACGTTTGGGTGAGCTGAGACTCTTTTAGGAAGGGAACCAAAGTGTCTGCGTTACAAAAGAGACAACAGAGGTTCATCAGGATGTTTGTCGCCCTTTCATCTGAACAGCAGGACAAGACGAAAAGAAACGGAACACAAAAGAATCTACCCATCCAGAGTGATGTGCTCCTTATCCTGCTTTAAGGCGAGAGGGCCAGCAGGTACAAGCTCTTGTGACATAGATTTCAATATAGCCTCACTTGATGATCCAGCCTTTAGAACAACATAAACAAAAACATAAATTGCGTCATTTTTACTCATTAGAGCTACACATGGTAGAGATGGAGGTACTTACCCCAATGTTCCACAGCATTTTTATAGCCAAGGGGAAATTTCTTAGGGAGCAGCATGCTGCCGATCGCACCGCCTGGACTTCCTCTTCGTTATCCTTTAGTTCCTGCAGCGAAGCGTTGTCTTCAGACCGCTGAGGGCGGGCGAACTGAGCTGCAGCCTCATACACGGCCGCGTTGGAGCCTTTACCGATCTGCTTTCCTATAATGTAGTCCTCCAGTTTGAATCCAGAGGTGAAAGGCCTAAGTGTGCTCTGGAATTTTTTCTTCTTGAACACAGCCTGCAGATTGGGAGAAAATCAGTTTCACATGTTAAAACTACACACATTTACCAGTCCCACATTTATAAAGTTCTCAGTCAATCTTTCAGGAAAAAAACTAAAAACTCCACATTTAGCAGATATCTACAGAAAAGGATTAGGGCCACTGAAAAAAAAAGGTTAACTGATTTTTAAATTTTATTTCATTTTGGTATGCGGAAAAAAGTCAGAAACCTGACTTTTTTCTCAGGATTCTGACTTTAATCTCAGAATTCTGACAGATAACAACATGTTAGCATCAAGCCATAGCCATGTCTGTTTTAGAGACTAGCGAGGGGACTAGGGATGCACGATATAATCGGCCCCCTATCGGTATCGGCCTGTATCTGCCTTAAAACTGAATATCGGACATCAGCCACCCCTAAAGTCTAAAAAAAAAATACTACTTCTTCTTCCTCCTAAAGACGAGGGAAAAAATATTGATACATTAAAATATCACAATATCTTCATATGCTGATATATTGCCATTTAAAAACACCATATCAATCTCTTTTACTAATGAAATATTGCTATATGTCATCGTTA